AGATTCAGTCTTTTTCCACTGAAGAATTGCTCCCAATTATGTGTGTCCATATAAATAGTTCTAGCCAGTGAACAGGTTGAAATTGGTCAATTCCTGTCATCTTTGCCCAAGTAAATTTCAAAAGCAAATTAATGGACTTTGGGGGTAACTGAGGTTGGAACGTGACTTACAGAAAAGTTACACACTGAATAAACTCCATAGATGAAGTTCTGAGTAGGTGGGTTTTTTTATTTTAGACCAAATTTTCTTTCAGAAAAATGAGAGTTAAAGTGGACCAGATGACACAACTTGCGAAAGGATGCTGTAATAATAAATTGGAGACTAGCCAGTAGTTCTGACGATGGCAATCTAAGAAGATTAGAATTTCAAGTTGGAAAGAAGGTTTTGTGCCAGATTTTCCCTTTTTTAATAGGGGAAAAGAGAAAAAAAACCTTATTCTTGCAGTCCTTACTACAGTTATACCTCTAACTTTCACATGTTATGAAATCTAGATTTAAAGCATCCTACAAATGATGTATTTTACTCTCAGAAAGCACTCATCATCATACAAATTGCTCGATACCTGCAAGTTGCATAGTTAGACTACATTTCTGGGATGAGAGAAAATACAGAGAAATCACAAAAGCTTCAGTGAAATATCAATATTTGAATTAAAAAAGGAGCATATATACGTTGCATATATGCATCTAAGCTTGGGAGCCTTCTATCTGCATACTGTATTTTTTCCATTTTCTTGAAGCTCAGTGACAACGAATGAATCAATACAACAGTGAGAAAGGCACACAATTTAATTTAAAATTCTAATGTTTAAAGATATTTTTGTCATGCTATTCATGTCATAGCCTGCCTGTCCCACTAAGATTTCATCTTGTGATGTCCAGCTACTGCAAAGTCAAGATTTAAGTTTGTTGGGATGCCTGTTGGCTTTGTTGGCAGGGCAGGGAAAATGGGAAGGCAGAGATGGAAGAGCAATGCTTTCAGGCACAGATATTAACTCAAAGAAGGATTTAATACAAGAGGAAATTTGATTAATGGTAGAAATTCTCATCTCAATAAATTACATATTGAACAATGTAGTCATTTTGGCTTAAGTCTGTAGATAGGCACAGGTGTCTGATTACTTAGCACATGGGCTAATAATCATGTTTGCTACCATATTACTTGCCTATAATTAATTTAGGAGTGCTCTGCTTTTTTGGAAAACAGTCTTTTAGCTCTTACCCGTTTCATTTCTCTGCATTAACTGCATTTCTCAGCAATGGCTGACTATCTGGATCTAGCATAACAAGAAAACCTTAGAGGTCTTCCCTCACCTAAAGTCTCACAAGGGATGGAAAAAATAGCTTCCAGAAAAAAACCATACCCGTTACCAAACTTGTTTGTTTATCGTATTGAATTTTCTGTACAGGTTGCCTTATCACTTTCAACTCTAACAACTTGTCTTTATTTCTAAGTTGACCTGTTATTTAACTGTTTCCACAGGAAATCTTATGTCCTGTATATATGAGTGTTTAAAGTGCGAATTAGCTGCCTTATTACAGCCTTCTGACCACAAACTCTTTGTATCTAGCCTGGTAAAAAAAAAAACATTTTGTTGTAAAGAGAGAGACACGAACAACTTGCCAGCTGGTAATCCCTTGAATATTTTCTTTGCTCTTGATGATAGAAAACAAAACCATCACAGGAGAGAATGATATATTACGGAACACAGCGAAGCCAAACAAGCACAGATTGGACCCTCGGCGTCCTAGTAGTGTAGATAAGTGAGGAGTCAGCCAGTGTGAATGTCACCGGTGGGTTCAGCTGAGTCTGGCTTTATAGTATTTACATCCAAACCTGCTTAGCTGTGGTGATTGGCCATAAAAGTTAAATTTTGGGTTAGCTACATCTGAATGAGGTTGAAGCCAGCAACTTAGCCTGAAGATAGAAGAAAAAGAAGAAAAATGGGAAAGGAGCCTGTAGAAAAAAGATATTAAATTTGTTGTTGACTTACCATCATCTCATAGCCTGACTTTCTGTTCTGGCTTTGGCTACAAGGAAAAGAGAAGTCACTAGCAAAGTATGTGCTAGGACATGCTGTAGGCCATGAGGAAAAGGTAGGAAAGAAATTTAAATACACCAGCACTTACATTTCTGCAGTATCCTGTATCATCTTTCTTTCCTGAGGTACTAGAATCATCTGCCAGGGTCTTTTTTAAAATTTTCCCCAAAAGAAACTATTGACAATTGTAAAGATGGCACAATTAAAACTGTTCTTCCACTTTGTGTCTAAGTAAAGATGAGTTTTCATTCCTCTTAGAAAGTGGAAGTGTATAAATGTTTGTCTGCTGTAAAAAAGCTGTCACAACCCCTCAAAAAAAAAAAAAAAAAAACAAAATCCACAGCAAAAAGGACACTTCAGCCTGAATGTTACTCTTTGTTTTCCATTTGATTGTGTATTTCAATCTCAATTAATTACTTGGCTTCCAAATGTAAAGCCTGTCCATTTAATATTCTGCCATTCTGCATCATCTTCTTAAGGATACAGATTGTTCTCACCATTCATTTTCTGCACATTTGCAAATACAGTTGCACAGATTGGGAGCCTTATGCTTCTTTTTGTGGACTTTAATTTCTTCTTTTATTTTTCTAGTCTCTCTGATCACCAACGCGATAACCCCATCTTCCCTACTGATTTTAAGGCAATCCCAGATTATGTGGCTAGGAGAGGCAATAAGAGAATTAGAGCTAAGAAAGAAATCAGTCTTGTTCTCTAATGACTTCTTATTTTCTACTGTTGATAGAATGAGAAGATTAAATCTCTATCTGCAAATCTTGTGAGGACAGTCTACAAAGGGGAGAAGCATAAATGATTAGACAACAACTGCCAGCAAAGGAAAGTGAGAATGTCATTCCACAAACTTTTGGAATGGAGGAAACGGTCAGAGATAGCCTAAGCAGCAAATAAGGCGTAGTTGAAACGGTTGAAAAATTCCTCCTGGTTTTGACAGATTGGCAAAGGCATCTGTCATCCCCACTTCTATCAAAGCATTTTAAAGAGAGAAGAAGAATTTAAAAGTATATTTCTTAGAGGTGCAATATGTGGATCTAGCCTGTGATAGAGCAGGGCACATTTCTTCAGATAAGATATTGGGTAATAGTCCCAATTTAGGTCCTTGCAAACATGCAGAGATATGCGTGTGTTTAAATTTATTAGGCTTGTACTTAAACCATATACTGGTTCAGAGCCTCAGCTGACCTGGTAATGTCCATTTAAGAGAAGACTCCATTATTTTATTTAAAGCTTAGAGATTATGGTGAGATGCCTCTTGTTCCAAAAATAGTTCAACTCATTTCATCAAGGGACTGCTCTGTATATCTGAATTTGTTTAGGAAAAAAGTAAGCAAGGAAGCTTATAAAAAGCAACCTATATTATATATATAAAAAACATAGAAGTTATTTTAAAAAATGTACCCCAGTTCTAAGAAAGAGCACTACAGGGGAAGGACCTCTCAGCTCAGATTTCTTCAAATAATCAACGCAATTTTTTTGCAAAACATGGATTGGAGAAGGAAAATGAGCACACAAATAAAAACAGACTGGAGTTTCCCTTTGTTCTGTTCTGCCGCAGTTCCAGACATGTTAACATTTTATATCCAGTTCAGTAAGCATTCAGTGTTGCCTATTTGATTCCAGTACTGTTAACTACCAAGACAAGTTAAAACTGTAGAGTCAAACTTCAGCTTTTCCTTTATTTGAATTATGATTTCCTGAGCGGTGTTCTTCTTACCAGCTGGTGTACTTGTTCATTGTAGCCCGTTGCTCACTTTGAATTTTTTACATGGGCAGCCGCATTTCTTTCAGAAATAATAAAGTAGCATCTTGTTACTGAATAGTTGCTGGCATTTTGTATTTTTAACTGTTCCTCTAGGATAAAATTAAATTAAATTAACAGAGCGTTCCCTACATTTATTTTAAAAAAAGAAAACAAAAATATTTACGCTTCCTGGAAACGTTAGCTATAGAACATTGTGCCCCAAAGGAAAAAACACATCGTTAGCTTGTTACTGATCCTGACAGTGTGTGCACAACTTCCCTGAATTTTATGGCACTAATTCATGATAGCCTTTTAAGTAGTTGCTATTGCCAAGTCCCAGAATCATGAGCAGAAATTTATTGCAGACATAGCGTAAGTCACATGGGTCACTAAGATGCCTAAATAATTAAATTATGGACACAGGCACAGAGGTATACTATGCTGCAGATGCAAATGACCCATATTTCAACATATACCCATCATTTGCCTTGCATAGAACAAGAGACTTGGTGCTCGAAACCAGGTCATAAAGGATTAAAATGAAAATAAGCTTTATGTGTGCACAGACGCATAGTGGAAGTTTCCAGCTTCCACTGAGGGCAGTTCAACCAAAATTTTGGTTCTCGGTATAACGGTAACTGAGCCTGACTAGTTCACATCTGCATTTCATTATTGTCCCTGGAGTGGAAAGGTTAGGAACATCCAGAGTCCAGAAAGCCAGTTTTTTTACACAGTGATGGAATCTAGTTCAAAGATTAGGGAACACAATAAAACCAACCGTAGTTGTTGACTTCCGACTGAAGTCTCCATTCCAAAAAGCGCAGGGAAGAGCAGCGGTGTGAGCAGTAAGCGCTGAACACGATGTGTTCTATTTGACAGTCCACCATCTCTTGATCTGACGTAGTGGCTTGTTCCCCCAAGAGTCTGTGGCGTCGTTCATTCAAACTTATTAATCTTGCTTAGGAACACCTTGGCTGTATGTGATCTTGAGAACACCCATTTTCCTCTCTTTGATGTCTGCAGCAGGCTAGAGAATGTGACTGTGTCCCTGCAACACCTTCAGTACCTTACATCAGCAGCTGCTCAGGTGCAAGCCTAAAATACGTTATTCGAGTCACTGAAAATGGCTTGTAACCATTATTCCAGGTGGATTTTTTAAGGGTGTTGTTCTGTTACAGTGCTGAATTTCTTTAACTCTTGCAGATTTTTGACAAAGAAGCTAAAGATCTGGAGCGAGAAGTTTGCTTTATTGATATTGCCAGCGACGAAATTCCCGAGCGCTATTACAAAGAATCAGAGGTAAGAGACAACTTGGCTGTGAAATGGTGAAGAAGGGAATGTAAGAGGCTGCAGGAAAGCCTTGATAGGAATCAAAACAATTTTATTTTTGTATGAAAACTTGCTGGTCAGTAGTATTTAAAAAACTTTTGATCAGAGGGGAAGCTGATAGCAACCTCTCTATCTAGGTTGCCTGACACTTTCTTTTGCAGATGATTCCTCCAAGCTTTTGAAATGCTTTCGTACCCTTTTCAGAACATACCCTGTACCAGACCTTCGGTATTCAGCTGAATTCATTCAAAGTAGAAGAGGACTTTTCTTTGAATCATGAAGCTCAGTTAGGTGTTTGCAGGTCTGAGCAGTTATAAACATTACTGTTGTCCTTATTTGCATCCCGCCCCAACTAATAAGTGATGCAAAGTGTCTAAGCCCAGGCAAAGGACAGATACGCTGCAGTGAGGATAGGGTTGATGCGCGGTTGCTCAGAGGCGACCATGACACAAGGCCAAGAGGGACTGAAGCGTGCTGCGTACTGCAGTAAATCTGCCAGAGAGCATCAATGGCAGCAGACGCATTCATTCTCTTAAAATTCCCTTGAAAATTGCTCCCGTGTATATTTGACAGTGAGCATCTCTCAAGAGCATGTTTCTTTCAGGTCAATGCAATTCACTGTTTTGAAATCAGCCACCACCATGCAAATGAAGATGAGGTCTCAATGTTTTAACCTCAGACTTGAAAAATGATGGTTCATAGGAAGTAGCTGGAGAGGAGTGATCAGATCTATGCTTGCATTTAATTTTGGAGATATGATTTGCCTCTGGAGCCAAGTATATGTTCATAGCTGGCAATGAGTATGGCAGCTGTTTGACTATACAAAATGAGACTACATAATCATTTTTAGGATAGAAAATGAAGACTCGCCAACAAATGTATTTCCATACCATAGGAGACATGAGTTTCAGACTAAGAAAGTCAGGTACTTGTTATCTTCCATTTATAGATCCTATTTCAAATTTTATGTATGGGCCATAAAATTGGGTCTGCAGTAGAATGAAAAGTAATTTTATTAGTTTCCTTAGATAATGAAACCCATCTGTTATGCACCAAAAATTATATAACACCTCATGAAACAGCTTATTGGTCCCATCATCTTATCTGAACTCCATGGTCTTCTGGTTCCATTTAGGAATGACTGCTGCTATTGAGCAGGTCAGCATTTGACTGTGTTTTAAAGAAATCATGTAAGATTTTTCATCTCGGTGTATGCACTTCCAGAAATTGTAAACATGAAGGTAACATCTAGCCTTTCAGCTTTCCTTCCCATTTTTAATAGCCAACTATTAAGCATAATTTCTATATGATTAATCTTATGATATAGAAAAGCAGCTTCATGTTAAGGAAGAAAAGAATTTCAGAGTCTTTGTGTTGTTATTTCAAAGACAAATCTAGAGACCTTGTTCCAAGCAAAATTTTATACGGTTTTAAACAACAAAAATAGCGCAGCATCTGCTGTTTTTTCTGTACCGATGGATGATTTGTATGTTGGCTACCAAATTCTGTTTCAGAATTCACACAAAATAGTAAGAACACCTTAGCACTTAACTGTGCACATACTGTAATTGATGCTGAATTAATAATAGTTGAATTCAGTATCTCCCAAAGTTTACAAACGATGGGGTTTTTTATGCTGCCATATGATGAATATGAAGCCAAGTTCCCATATCTGATGAGGCCTCTTACATAATTTAGGGACTATAAAAAGACTTTTAATGTTTGTAAATGTAATTTCCATTTGTTTTCAATCAGAACAGCATAAAAAAGTAACTCTATGTAAGTGAGAAATGGTCTGTGTTTTCCAAATAACAGTTTCAGAGATAACTAAAAATCATTCACTGTAAACTTTTGAAAGGTATTTTAGTTACACTAATAACAACAATTTGGCTGCTTTTAGAGCATTTAATCTGAATTGATACTAAGTTTAAAGACTAAAAGTGAAGTGCAATCCTCAGGATTTAAGAATTAGATCCCACAGGATAAGTGTTCTGACTCCCATCCAGAAAGACCAATGAGAATGATTTTTAACTTCAGGCACATTAGTAATCTCTTCATTTCAGTGGATCTTCCGCGTGCTTAAAATTGAGCAAGTTCTGTAGCAGGGTCAGCATACTTAGTGCCTTCCAGAAATGAGCTTTAGATTTCTTTTATATCCTGACAAAAGTGCGTCCCTCTTCAATTAAAAATATACTTCAGTTTTTAACTGCAATTTTCATTACTTAGTTGTATTACTGTATCTTAGAGAAGTAGCTTAAATAATTTAAACGTTTCACACACTATTTAAACTGCTTGCTTTTTGTTAGTGCTTATGAGCCTGCTTGTTGAGGGTGATTTCTGATGTGATCAGACAGCACTAATTACATAGTTGCTATTAAGCTAGTATTTGTGATATCAGTTATTTTTAGCTTTAAAGTGCTCAGTTATCCTTCCTAAGCGGTTTGGGTCAATATCATATATTTTTCAGAGTCCCCTGTATGAAAAGCCCCTTCTTACAATTTGACTGCAACCTTTCCTTGAGTTAGTGCATCAGATAACTCATTGATTATAACAGAATGAACCATAGCAGCTTTAGTGTTTTCTCATTTATATAGATGGAAGACACGGTCGTGTATGTATTACACCAGTATCATCAGCAGAGGTGATAATATTGCAGGTACCACAGAGGGTTCAGGAGATATCCGAGGGTCCCGTAGCATCAGGCTCAGTACAAACAAGTGAAGCAACCGTTGCCTGCTTCCTAGCACCTGTGATCTAAAAAATTATTTTTCAGTTGCCCTCACATGAATCTTATAAACAGATCTATATTCTTCCTTCCATTGTAACTCACATGATAATGATTCACACATAAAAAGACAAAATGTATAAAACATCTTCATATGTATAATACTCCATCTGAATTGCATAGCTCATTTTGACTTGCGCTGGTACTGATAAGAAAGGACAAGTGTTCCATGAAAATGTCACGATGGTTGAAGGCAAAATTATTTATTTCAACCTTGTGCAGATATGCTTTTTTCTCCTTCTAAATATTAAATAAAATTGAAAAGTAAAAAATATAGTTAGCTGGGGGCTTAAGGAAAGCTGTTGTTTCATTGAGCAACACTTTAGATGAACCTTTGCCAATAATATTGAGTGATCTCTTGACCAGAATCATCCAAGTGATTTGAATTCCTGTAAGAATGGAGGGCTTATCTGTCAGTGTATGCACAAAAGGACTTAAATCACTAAGAGGGAATCAGAAGATGGTTTTGTTAGCTATTACAAACACGTACATAGAGTCCAATTCTGTCTGCCATGGAGGTATACTGATTTCTGCTGTCAAAAGAGTTGCCCTTGTAGAAGACTGGAGGAGGTACAACTGCAGCAATTCTGGGTATCCCAAAGCAGATGTCTTAATTTTAACTTAATGACCATCTACACGCTTCATTGTGAAGTAGCCACCCGGATACTTAGCAGTGCTGCAACATCTTAAATAAAGCTTTTTTTTTAACAAGCATGGACCTAAAAATCCTTAAACTTTTAAGATGTTTAAATGTGAGGTTCCAAATGGAGAAAGGTTGAATCTAGATCCAAGCTAACAGGTTTGCCTGTTTTTCTGTAACGAGTCACCTGTGTTTCCAAATCTGAATGTACATATTACACTGAATACAGAATTTTATATTTCTGTATAAAGAATGTACAAGCCTACATGTAAGAGTAGTTGTACATTTGTAAAGTCGTTTCCTGGTGACTTTACCATCAATGAATACGTATCACCAGCCATCATGTATTCCCCATATAGGCATATATATTTCTCTGAATTATCGAAAAAAATAAAACTGAGCTATGCTGAAGAGTGAGGGCCTCAAATGAATCATTCACTGAAATGAAACGTTTACTGTAGATGTGAGCTTACTGAGCAAAATGTTCTTTGCCACCATATTCAAGTTCTCAAAATTCGTGTTTCATATCCTGTTTATAACAAAGCAGTTGAGAGTTGGACAAATGGAATAAACTTTTAAGTTACCTCCAAACAGAAAGATTTCATGCAGCTGCCGCAGTGTTCTTCTTCAATTGCTGTCTTTTTTGACTTCAACACAGCTGCACTGTAATAGGTCCAGCTTACTACTGTCCAGGTGCTTTCAGAATAACAAAACCTCTTGTCGCATTACAGAGCCAGAATTATGGTAGTTGAAATAATACAGCTGCCAGCCCCCACAGTGAGTGTGTGCAACATGTCAGTACAGTAGTTCAGCACAGGACATAGCAAAACCAGAGGAAGATTTCTTTTTCCGTACTTATGAGCTTACATAAAGGCTGGCTGGATTATCGTATTTTAACACCTCAGAACTGTCCCAATATTTACAAATATTTAGCTGGCTCTTCCAGAAAATACATTTTAATGGAAATTCCAAAAGGGGGAAAAAAAAAAAGAAAGTCTTTAAAAAATGACTCCACATAAATCTCTATAGTAAGTGTCTTCACACCAACAAATCTTTCCGGAGCCTTAGCTGTATGAGCTGAAATCCAACACCTAGCAACTACAGCTGATGGTGAAATGCCAGATCACATGTATTAAAACCATGAAGGACTGCTTCTGAAATTCAAGATCAAACAAAATGGTCTTCCGCTTAAAGGGAAAAAAAAATTGACTGCAAAAAAACAAATCCATGCATTAAAAGGAAGGTGTTTCTGGGACACCTGAGTAGCATCCAGTAAGAGAATAGGCTGCATGGAGTAACACAGTGCACTTTCACCTCTGGAGAACGTGTTCAGCTTGGGGATGTGTTTCCATGCTAAAATGGCCATACAAGCAGCAAGTAAATTTCAAGATTTCGAAAGCAGATCAGTAACAAGGCTAAGAAGATGTTCCATGCAGGCTTCCAGCACACAGACAAAGGAGGTGTCAGCTGCAGAAGAGTATGGCAGCTTCAAATCATGCCTGATACCGTGGCAAAGCTAAGGGACAGCATGCCCACTCAGATTTGGAAGTTGTCTGTAAACAATGAATGTATTTCATTGTTTAACTTCAGGTAAAAAATAACATTTCAGAATTAAATCTGAAAAAGCATTGCAGCAACCCAGTGCCATATTGTCAACGTGTTGGTGTTTGCCTCCTGGAAAGGGGTGTGCAATTCCGCATCTGATGCCCATGACGTCTGCAGTCCGGGAGGAAGGTTAAGTAAATAAATGCTAAATAATGGAATCTCTGACAATAAGCATGTTGAGCCAGGACCCGCCAGACGTGACCTAAGAAAGAAACACTGGGAGAGTGCTATGTTTGAAATCACATCCGTCACATTGTGGCTTTTATTTTATTTTATTGTAATTTTACATTTTATTCTCAGATAAGCCCATCTCATGGGTAATGATGTTTCTGATACGTTAGCAGAAGTGCTGTTTTTACATCACTCTGCACCTGGCAATAATGTATTGCAAATACAGGATAGGTTTTGCTCCTCTGTAGCGAAAGGATTTGCCAGATGGGCTTTCCTAATAAATTGTATCTGATAAAAGGACGAGAAGGTTATTTAAACAAAAAGGTTTTAGCTATGCCATTACATTTAAAACAGATTGAGGATTTTGCCAGTAGATAAATTAAGGGGAGAATAGCGAATAGACACAGTATTCTTTGGATGATGGCTTCTCTAGAAAGGAAGGCATGGGTGGCTAGAAGCAAAAATCAGGCACACACAAAATTAATCATCTCAATAATAACATAAAAATGGGGTCAGACCACAGATCAGCTTGCCCAGTTTCCAGTCACTGACCGAAGCGTTTCAAACTCGTGTGCCACAATTCCTGCCTGGGGAGTGTGCTGCTTCGCTCTGCGCTGGTGCCTCTGGTGCATGTTTGGCAAATTGCCGTACCTTTCACAGGAAGATACGGAACGGCCATGATCCCGCAGCGGCAGGGGCTCAGCTCTTCCCCCGGGACCTGGAGAGATGTGAGCATGGCACATGAGTCTGATTTGTTCCATCTGACTAACCTAACAAGTGAGCTACAGCTTGAAAGTCAGGAGGAGAAGCAATGCTGTGTACCAATATTATTTCTACTTGCAGTTAATAGAAAATTATCATCCCTGCTTCATTTTTTTCTTTTTTTTTTAGAAGGACCTTATATGCTTAATGGCAGAAAGGACTCCAGGCTGTGAATCTTAATCTGGCAATTTAAAGCCATGAGTTAGGCACATAAAATCATTCTGGGTTGTGGCTTTCATGTCAAAGTTCTCATTGATTTCAGTGGGCTTTGGATCAGACATTGAAGAGCAAAAGATTAGCGGTCCTGGTCACACCAAAGGTCCTTCTGGCATGATATGCTCCCCGTGGCTGTGGCTAATAGCAGACACCTAGGAGAGGTGCAAATGTATGCGAAATAGAAATACAGAGATTCTTCCCCTAAATACTTCCTTGCGTGAACCATAGCACAAGCAATTGCTGAGCCAGAGTTTGTGTCTTCCTAAAATAGTCCAAGACTTTTTTAAACACCTGACTTTTTAGCATCTGGGTAAAAAGCCAGGTGATGTTAGACTGGATATAAGGAGGACATTTTTTACAGTGAGGGTGGTGAAGCACTGGCACAGGTTGCCCAGAGAGGCGGTGGAGGCCCCATCCCTGGAAACATTGCAGGCCAGGTTGGACGGGGCTCTGAGCACCCTGGGCTGGTTAAAGCTGTCCCTGTCGCTGCAGGGGGTTGGGCTGGGTGGGCTCTGAAGGTCCCTTCCCACCCAAAGCGTTCTATCATTCTATGATTCTATGATGTTAGTTTTACTTATGATAACGACTCGCCTCTGTAAAACACTCATGCCCTTTGAATTGATGGCCCAGAGATTAAACTCTCAAGTTCACTTTGTTCAGTGTTGCTGTGTATCTTACATCCCACTACTCAGCTTATACACAATCTTTACATGCAGCTCCCAGGGAATTGAGTTTTAGCTCACCTGAGCAAGCACTCAGTAAAATCTTTAATGTCTTGATCTTTCATACAGCAGTCTGGAAATCTATTCCTCTGAATTCTTTCTTCTTCCTGGCTTCCATTCATCAGTCTACAGTTTTATAGTACCAATATGTTAATGTTTTCAGAAAGGCAGGAATTTCTATAAAAGCTATTAGATATAATTTGCCCATATTGTCCATCATCGCCTGGCTCTTTGCTTGAAAGTGTCCGGCCAATTCGTGACTAAACATCATGTCCTTCAAGAAAAATGGACGTGATTAAAGGAAGCAAAGGTGCCATCTCTGGGTGCTGTTAAAGGAGTTTGCAACTAGGAGTGATGTCATGGGTGAATTGCATTGCAGTAGATGGATTATTTGTGGGCCACCAATTTAAGAATGATTGCCACTATGAATCCCCTTGTCTGCTGGGCTAACTTCACAAAAATGAAATAAAGCAAAACAGCGCTTTCACAGCACCCAGAGGGTTCTTGCAGTTTGAACGAGACACAAGTTTTATGCGTGACTGAGCAGTCATGCAGGGTGGCTGTTCATTATTTAATTTTTATTTATAAATTCTGAATACTTGGCACTGACTCAAATTCATTACATTAAATCCCTTTGGACTGCATTGAAGTTACTCCATTGTATGTCTGGTTATCGCCAAAAGGATATAAAGCATCTCTGCGTAACGTTCAGCATTATTAAAGGGCCTATCTGAAATGTTTAATCAAGACAACGGCTCCATCACACTAGCACCGTATGTGTATGTAAGAAACAGCAGACCCTTCCTTACATTAAACTATTTGCCTTTGATTTTCCTTTTTTTCCTTTCTGAATATTAAGTCTTAGTTCCTCCCTTTTTATTTTTTTTTCTTTTTACTATTATATTGATTGCTTCAGGCAATAACCAGATATAAAACAACTCTTTCAACCAGAAAATATCGAGATCAATCTGAGGCCAAGCTTTATTGAGTGAGAAGATTGGCAACAGCATGTGACTATGAGTTGTGATATACAGTGGTATGTTGCTCTGATACATGATGACGCGGGATTGTTTTTTATGGTGATTTAATATTGAAACCTTATTATACTGCAAGCTTAAAGCTTCTATTTAGGAAATAATATGTCAGCAATAAAAGCAGTGACTTTCACAGAGAGGGAAGACTATCACCTCATTAGAGCTTTGTAAAGAAGCTTTAATGACAGAGCTTCAGTTTATGGATAAAATCAGAAGCCAAGTCAGGAGATAACTAAACATTAGAAAAAAGGAATGCTGAATGTTATATAAGCTCACACTGAATGAAAGAAAATTAAGATCAGAGTAGTCTTAACAATTTTTTGTTAGCTTTTCTCCTGACTGTCTTCCATTTAGCGCATAATTTGAGTACATACTTAGATACATGTTTAACTGCTTTTATAACAAAGGAAGGATTTAAATGATCTTCCCAGATCTCGGCTTTGGGGAAGGCAACACAGATGAGCACTGGTGCTTTTTCTTGAAGACAGATTTTAGAAGCTCCACTACGAATTTACTGAAACTACATTATTTTCAGGTTTTGAAAATCAATGCTTAACTGTAAATTATTTCTGTTTACAAGATGTAATTAGCAGGATTGGACATAAGGTGAAATGGAATTATACCAATATGGAAAGTAACACTTTGATAGATAAAACTGTATCTTGTACAGATAAAAGTAAACTTTAAAGATGAACTAATGTCCGTACTGGTTTTTTGGTCTTGCTGTTGTAATTTCAACCCCCATTTATTTGATTTTCCAGTTTGTAAAAGAGAGACCGAGTTGAAATTAGTCAGTGTCTTGCCCGTAACTCAGTTGGAACCAGAGATGGCAAAATTGGAGGCGTTTCATACTTAGCTGGCCACCTGGATATACGAGTTCACTTAAAATTGAAAATGACCTTGTCAGGGTCACATCAGTGTTGATGTGTCAAAGCTCAAACTGGGCATGATTTCAGGAAGAGAGGCATGGGTAGAAAGTACTAGTAAGTCACGCTGAGGGAGTAGTGGAAAAGCAAGCTCTGAAGAAGCAACATTTTTTTTCCAAAGGCCATAAATAACCCTTGGAGTGCATTGTATTGTAATGACTTGCAATAACATATTTTCCTATAGCAGAAAATGTCCTAGATAATACGATTGTCAAAGCATCTCCGAGAATATGCTGCCATTGATTCACTGGCTGTTGGATAAAAGACAGGATTGGATTTTAGTGTATCCTAGTGCTTATTTAAGTCAATTTCGTATGACTTTTTCATAATGTTTATTAGCATGTTTTCATATTTTATGTCTTATCAAAACATTTCCTTTAGCAAACTGACAAACAGGACTTCATCTCCTGCATTTCCCAGTATGTTTTCTTAATTTTGCAGGATCCTAAATATTTCAAGTCACAGAAGACTGGGAGAGGCCAATTAAAAGAAGGCTGGAGAGAGACCCATCAGCCCATTATGTGTTCCTACAAACTTGTGACTGTGAAATTTGAAGTCTGGGGACTTCAAACCAGAGTAGAGCAATTTGTACACAAGGTCAGTGAAACAGGAGCTGTTTCTTATCCTTCACGTAAGCAGAACTCGAGTACTACCCTGCACGGGAACGTAACTGTGGCTGTGTAGAAGGTAGGGAGCTCAGCCGAATCTGCTTTCAGGCCTCTCAAGGTCTGAAAGATCTGGAGCAGAGCCAAAGAGTTCATCTCCAGGTATAAACTTGACAAAGCTTGGAGCTGCTCAGGTCCACGGTTGAGAAAAAATATCAATAACATTTTCAATGCTGCGATAAATGTATGAGCGAAAGTATTTATGAGTATACATGAGTACCATACATGTAGCAATGATGTGTGGGATTCCTTACAAACAGGTAGTGGGAAAGTTTTCCAGACAGTCTCCTAAAAAAATAATTAATGAATGGCATAACAGCCAAGTGATAATATTTTTCAGAGTATTGAGCTTCCACATGTTTAAAAAACTAACAAGGAAGAAGAAGAGTTCCAGAACATCTAATTGCCCCAAGATTAATGGATTCTGTACACGTTCCCAAATGGCTTCCCGTGCTAGTCAAAGCCATGCTAATGTGATCCAGTGTTGGCAATAGATCCACTTCAAGCGGGAGGCTGGACGGCAGGACCTTCAGAGCCAGTATGTCTGACTCTCTAGGGCATGTCTTTTTAGAGACAAAACTGTCAGAATATTTTTCACTTTAAATCATGTTGCAAGTCAACAGTGTTACTTTTGTCACATGTTTTGTTGCTGCAGAGGTATTTAACCTTTTTGTTGTTTCGCAGGTGGTCAGAGATATACTATTGATTGGTCACCGGCAGGCTTTTGCCTGGGTTGATGAGTGGTACGGTAAGTATTCTCCAAATTTAGCCCATTTAAAAGGGCTGATGCAAAGCTTATGACAATTAACAACAGATTTGGACCATCAGGTCCTAGCATAAGTTGTTCATGAAAGAGATGAAACTATGTTCAGTTTCTCTGGAACATACGGAGCTCATTTACAGCCAGTTCTTTGTAACAGGAGTAGGCTGTATTTTAGGCAGCCAGTAGGCAGCATGCAGGGACCCCTTTACATCCCATACATCTCAGGGTATATGCATCAGTCCAGTCACCCTGCACTGTAGGCAGATAGGAGCTGCCCCGGGCAAGAGTCATCGATATGGGGAACCGCATGCAGGTTTGAATAAAGCTTCTTACTAAGACTGCGTTAACATGCAATCGTTTCCATCCTGCAAGCTCCTCGGGCCTCTGATCCAACACAATTTCAGTTTTTTAGGAAAGTTTTAAACTGTTAAGAGGGACTGCAGTAAAGAAAAGATGGCGCTCTAATGTCCTTTCTGAAAAATGGATATAAATGTAAAACCTACTGGGTCTGATTCAACAGCAGCTGCATGCAAAAACTGTTCTGAATCCATGAACCAGCTGTAGGAACGGGCACTTGCAATGGTACAGAGTAATCCTGAATATCAAAGCAGCCATTTATATTTTAGAAAATAAGCTCACGGGGTTTGTGCTTTTTACATATATTTTCAGTAAGATGAATCCATAATCACTTGTAGAACAGTTTTTAAGACATTTCTGTAACATATAATAGCAATTTGGGATTATATTTAGAATGTTTATTTAGATCCTCCTTAAGCTTCAGGAAACACCGGTTTGGGTATTTCATGGATTAGAATGACACCTGTCTTTCATCAGAACTCAGAAACATTCTGCATTGCTTAAAAATAGTCCATTAGCTCAGCTCGTGCGAACACACACATCTCCAGTGACTTCATAAACCTGCATAATTTTACACTAGAATCTAACAATAAACTCATTGTGTTGATTTTTTGCAAATACAGAAAAATTTGCCTTTGAAATCACAATGTTCCTATACATTTAATAGTACGTTAAAATCTTGTGCTGTAATGATCATGAAAATACTGAAATAATACCGTTTATTTTGGGATAGCCATAAACTAGTAAAATAATTTTGTATCCAGTAGGAAAGAGTTCTTTTTTTCATTTTTTACCTGAAATACAGTAATGCATTATTTTCCCTGTACAAAGTCAGGGAAACTGATTACTTTAAATAAAGAAGCCTGACTTCATGTAAAAATTGAGCCCACAAATTTGCCCCCAAACTACCCAACATATCTATTAAAGCAAGACATAAAGAAACGTTACTGGGAAGCAAAGAGTCATCTGCACTTTAGCAGAGTTATCGATAATGATAACAAGTGAGTAATCATGAAGTAAAACATATGGAATAGGTTTAGCCCAAAAACCCCATTTAACCACAGATTTTCCCATCTTAACTCTGAATGCACCCTGTCAAAAATACTCTTTCCACAAATGAAGTATTGCGATACACAATTATCTTGTGGATTTTTACTGTCACGGTGAGTCTTTTTTCCTAAATAATATAGTGTACTCTTAGAACTTAATTGTCAGGCTAAGTATAAAACCAAAAAAATCTGGGCTTACTAAAATAGATATGAATAAAGGCTAAGTATATAGCAAGATTTATTAAAAAAAAAACAGTGCAGAAAGTTAGTTTGGGTACCTCTCTGTGCTGCCCGCAGCCCTTATGCATTACTGTTCTGAAGTGTAACAGTTGGTAAGACGTGCTGACTAGAAACCGAGTATTTCATTATTCAAAATGAGTGAGGTCCAATTTGTCTACATCCACTTCCATTTAATACACATGATGTGTAAAACTGTGGTGGTACTGCTCTTGACGTGTTTGTGTGTAGGGAGAGTTTTTCAGAAAAATACTTCTAAAGCATCTGTGTGCATTCAGTGTGTCTGTTAGCATCTTTTAAAATAAAAGCTTGGGAAAGACTTGGAGATGATGTACGTCAGCTAAACTGACTCAATCAGTGTAATAAAATCAATTACTAAACAACGTTATATTAACGGTATTACTGATTGGTTACTGTTACTGATACTGTAAGTATGAATGTGTCTTGTCATTACACTTACTAAACTGTATTTAGCTTTAACCAAATCTGTTTTCACAGTGTTATTTACTAATAAAGAGCATGTTCTCTGCTTGGCAAAATGCATCCTTAGCATGTTATTGACATGGCTTATGAGCTTGTTTTTCATTCCAGATAACAGTAAAAGGATGAGTTAGTGGTATTCCATGTTTCCTTTTGATCAAAACTTTAGACTGCGTTTCATTTTCACTGAGGAAATATTGCATTGTGCTACTGATATAACGGCTAAAGTTACATCTTTCCTTAAAAGCTGTCTCGTAAAATGCAGCAAGGGCCTCATATCACAGAACAAGGAGTGGTGTGATACAAGAATTTCCAAATCCAAGTGGCACATAGTAAACCTGAGAAAAATGATAGCCTCAAGAACAAAGACACAGTGTACAATTACCACAAGTGGTACACATTTCCAAGTATACTGTGCTACAAAAATGCTATTTTTTTATGAGTAAAAAGTTGATGGCTATTTTCATGAAGCTCTGAAGTTATCAAAGCGTTGTAAAGAGCAGACCAAAATTCTGGCAGCCTTCATGTTCACTTACACCTTACTCGCAAGCAGATTTATTGAAAGCATGGGAATACTCAGAAGGGTAAGGTCACAAGTCAATTAATTGGATTCTTTATGTTTTTACTGGAAGTGTGGTCTATGACAAATCTTTTTAAAATCTGTAATAATTGCTTTGAGTTACATAGCAAGCACCTAACAGATTAGGCACTAGTTTGACAGCATCAGGCATGCCTAGGCAATGATAAATGATCCTACTGGTAGAATCAGCCTGATTTGTGGAATATTTCTAATTCTTACAATTCATTAAGTTGCTTGAGGCTACAAAACTGTTAACGTATTCACTATTAATTCATTTACCAGTATAATTAAGTGTTAGTTTCTGGAATCTAAGCTGATGTGTGCTCTAACAGTAAGAATGTTTGCTGGTTATGAGATGTACTATGCAAAGATAACAAAATCTTTTTGAAAGTTCCTGGAAAGGTAAGTAAATATTTATAACACTTCTGTATCTATCCTTTATTCCAAGGGATCTTCTAAAATCTTTTTAGAAGATCTTGGCCTTTGCCAAGGCCTGCACTTCAATACTTTTTGCCTACCTTACATTACACAGATACTCCTGAACAATTTCCACTCCTTCCTGTTCTCTGACTCCCTTTGACTTAACCTTCTTACACCTTCCTTGGCTGATATAACTACCTTTATGAGTCAGTTTTCATAAAGCTAGTTGCTCCATGCTTTTTTTTAAATCCTTTTTTGGCTTCTGCTGAAAGACTATGTGCTCCTAGAACCTTCTCCTTAGAAAAAAATAAGCTTGCACTGAATCAATGGAAAATGCCAACAATTTTGAACTTTTTACAGATATGACTATGGATGATGTTCGAGAATACGAGAAAAATATGCATGAAAAAACCAACATTAAAGTTTGCAACCAACATTCATCTACTGTGGATGAAATAGAGAGCCATGCCAAAGCAAGAGTATGTCAATTTTTAAAACATATTGCCCATCCTCAGCTAATACACCTGCACAGATCAGCGAAGAGCAGTGAACTGATCTTGCTGACCAGTCAGTGGAATTTTGGGGAGGTTTTGCTTCAGCAGGAACAGAATCTTTCTCCGTGAAGTGCAATCCCGCCTTTCATTTGCACTGTAAACTGCCACTGATGTAAGAAAGGGTGGGAATGGGCTCATATACAGTTCCCTGTCTTCCAGGAAACCACCATTCCCAAATTTCAGTTGTATGCACAAAGAGGAAGTTAAATACCGGTTTTACTTTCTATTATTCGAATCGTTAAAAAAGGCAAGAGTTCAGAGTGCTTCAGTCAAAAAGCCAGGAACATGGGGAGTGGAAAATTTCTGTGGGACTGATAAAATCGTTTGCTTCACCAGGAAAAAAAAAGCTAATGAATTATTCACTCTTTTCAAACGAATTTTAATGTTGTCATTGATCAGCTACCAACAAGGTGAGAAGTATTTTCGGAAGTATGTCACAGCAGTTCGCGGGGAAGGGCAGGTTTCTGTGTAGGTTCTTTGATTCAGATTCTGGAAACTTCATAAAGTATTAAAGTTCCTAATTTGGGCACCTCAAGTAGAGGCCTAAAATTAGAAAGTATTACTATCTGCAAATAGAAGAGATGCAGTGATAATTTGCTTTTGAAATGTTGTTATTCCTTTATTTCTACTACTGCGCTGTAGAACTCGGTGATGGTTTTACTCATGTAACGAGTGTGGGCACGGCCTGAAGGGCTTGAAGTCTTTCCTTTGTTCTTACTCAGTAAAACTTGTCACCCGCCTGCAAAGGTGTCTGAGCAATAACCAGGAAGGTGATTCTCCTGTTTGTAATGCCGCAGCTCCATTGACATCAAGGTTACTCCTTAGCTGAGCAGTAAATTGAGAATCGCTTCTGACTTTGGCTCTACACTTCAGGATTTGGCTTTGAATGAAGTCTGCCATCCGTAGCTCCCATGTGGAAAATTGCCACTGAGGCCAGAACAGAATTTGTCATTAATGAAAAAAATGAGTCTGAGCCTTCTTAGCCCAGGATAAGGACTGGTTTTACGTGAGCGTGTGTCAGAACAGAAGTGAATTTAAAGTGAGTGTAAGCTAAAAAGCCAAAGTTAGCTGAAGGGACAGTAAGTATTTCATGTGTGAATTTAAAATGGAGGATACCACTTAATAAGACTTCAATCAATCTTCACTTAAATAGCCAGCAAATTGAGAAATCTTCCTGTCCTCTTTCACTTCCATTTATCCAAGACAACTTTGGTTTCGTGTTGTACAGAAGTGCTCAATCGAAAATAGCTGAAACGAACGCATGGGCTCCCTTGGATGTCAGGGCGCTTTTAAACGATTTGAGTTCAGAAACGCTACACACGCTGTTACAGGGTGTGAAACAAAATGTAAATCAGCAAAACAGGTTCCAGTCTATCTCCAACACAAGTAGGTACGGTTCCTCTGAGACCGTCTGTTTATTTCGACCGCTTAGCTCAGATTTGAAAATAGCTTAGCCTTCACTCCTAATAACTGGCACAGCAGCGTAGACTGAAAAGGTCCCTGGAATGTCGTCTGCAGGGAAGAGAGGAGCCAGCTGGAAGCATTGCATGCTTTTGTTTATTTAATATGATGTTGTCATACAACATAAAGCTTCTTCTACAGAACATTTGCAGCCAAGGCCACAGATGTGTGCAGCCGGGTAATATTAAAAAAGTATCGATGTACTCAAAGTGTAGGATTTTGTCATACATGTGGTAAGCACCATTGCCAGTCCCATGTCTCAGACACCCAAATGTGTGAGAATTTTAAGTTTATTAAAATGCTAGTGGTTTTATTTCTGGTTTCAGAGCTTTCAGAGCTCAACCAATCTATAAAATGGCTTAATGAAATGCTTGAAATTTACAAATTTAACGTGACGTTCAGTGAAAACCATAAACTTTATTTCATTTGCCTCAGTGGACATCTTGCAGGCAACATTGACATGAAGCAGCAGGTTTCACAAAAGTCTTGCTGATTTTTTTTTTTTTTTTTAACTTACCTGTTTGTAGCAGATGTCATTCGTTCAGGATTTTATCAAAAAAAGTTTTGCCCGGCTCAGCTCAGAGCACATCTACGCTGGGATCGCTCTGCCCTCTTGTGGGTTTCCACAGCACTGGGACACATTTGTCACCTGCAGAAGACTTTCACTGCTTTTAAAGCTTTCTAGGGACCCCGTTTTCCATTGCAAAGTGGCTTTAACATCTCAGCCTCATTTTGCCTCTATTTTGCAGGGAATTAAGCAGTGGATTTGTCAGTTGGCCATAAATGTTTAAGTACAGATTCTGGATGGAAAAGTTGGAAAGCGTGTTGTGGCTTTAGCAAGTGAGAGGGAATTCTTTAGGCTTTATTAGTAGAAAAGCAAAACGGCCTCAGTTACGTGCATGCAGCTGCAACCAGAAGTCAAAAGAAGCTGTGCATGGGGGGAGAGAGAATTTTTTCATCCCTTGATAATTACAGTAGACAAACCAACCGATGACAACCCTGTACTCGTTCATGCTTATAATTTAGATGGGGGGAAAAAAACCCCAACAACCTATTAGTTTAATTTTGCTCGGAGTTCTGAAAAATTCTACGTGCTAACTCTGTATCTAAATGTATTCTTTAATTGCCTGTGAAATAGCTTGATTTTTCCAGCAATTACAGAGGTAGCACTCTTCATTTAGTTCAGAGCCAGGTAGGAGAAGAACTATTACTATGTGATTAATGTACTTAACTTCATTTTCTTTGTGTTGGCTGCTTATTGTATTCTGATCAATGCATTACAATAGCAAGGCATTCATGTGGAGAATCACTTAATGATATGCATGATAAGCAATCATTCCCTGATTTAGAATTTGGATGGAAGTAGTTTAACTGAGTTAACGAAATGATCATTTGAAATCATTCTAACGTGCCTTTATCTTTCTTTCCTTCTTGTTGAAGACATGACAATGGATGAAGTCCGAGAGTTTGAACGAGCAACTCAGGAAGCTACCAACAAGAAGATTGGGATTTTCCCACCTGCAATATCTATCTCTAACATTTCCATGCCTTCTTCAACCCGCAGTGCTCCATCTAGCGCTCCATCAACTCCCCTCTCCACAGATGCTCCTGAATTCCTAACAGTTCCCAAAGACCGGCCTCGGAAAAAGTCTGCTCCAGAAACTCTCACTCTTCCAGATCCAGCGAAAAAAAACCTTTAAATTAACCCAGCATGTTTCCTCCTGATAAGCCATGTCTACCACAGCAAGAGTGACGTAACTCAATTTCTGCAAAGGTCATGGTGGTTTGTTGGATGTTTTTTTTGCTTAAAATAATCTTACTGGTGTGGAAAGATTACTTCTTTCCTCAGACTTGATCCTTAAAACCTTCAGAGAAGTGCATGCAAGAGAATGTAGTTTATATATTCCTAAAGTAGTGTTTCAAGCCATATGGTGCGTCTTACTGACATACAATGAAATAGTCTGAGGGGAAGCCTGTAAAAGAAAACAAATCTTTCTGTAGCAGTATTCTACCTACAAATCCTCATCTAGGTCATAGCATTTATAATTAGGAGTAGGTACTTAGTAAAGCTGCCAAGGACTTCTGAGGCAAATTAGTGCCAACTAGAATGCAGGGTTAACAGGAACAAAACCCTCCCGTTTTCTTCTTTTATAGCCAATTTTAAAATCCTTCCTACTCTCAGGCTTCTGCTGTGTACTCATAAACCTTTGACCTGTAACTCATTGTACTTGAACACCAACAGCAATCACTCAGATTCACATTTTGCTTAATATGACTCAGGATTTGGGGCCTAGCTAACAAACACAAAACTTTTCAAACCTAAAATATCACTGTATTGAAGCCCCAATTGTAATTAATTATACTGACTTTGAGGCCATTGAACTATTTCTATCTTGCACAGAATTTGTAAAAGAAACCACCTATTTCTTGTAGATAATGTATTTTAATAGCTCTCCCCTGTACTTTTGTGATCTCTTTAAGTCCGTATTGGTGTTCATCAATGGTGTTCATCAATGGTGTTCCATGTGTAAGATTGAAAAAAAGCAGCTACATTGAGCCAGTTGAGAAGCAAAACCAATGAATTGTCTTTTTCTCACTGGAAGAAGAGTGATAGTTACACTGTAAGACCTTGAATGTAAAGGAAAGAAAATATAAGACTCCTTTTTCTTTCCTGCCTCGCATCTTTCCCAAACAGCACAATCTCTGCTAACAGAAAGCTGGTTCCAGGCTTTACCATCGTCTAGGGAAGGGGTGAACAAAATCAGTCCCTTTACAAAGCACATGAATCGTGGGGCGTCTCAGTCCCGTGCAGGGTGCCGTTAAGGAAACAGAAGTGCTCTTCCTGGTCTGCGTGTGAAATCGCTCTTCAATCTCAGGAATTAAACTAGAAAAGGATGTTTCCTGGCAGGAAAGTGTAGATTGTGGAAGGAGGAGAAAAATAAATGGCAGAAGAGGTCTCTTCCTTCCTTCCTATTCAAAAGGTAAGCTCAGTGAGAAGCTTTCTCCACTGAACCCCATTTGGGGTACTTTGTTCTCTTTCATACAAATTGCTATTTAATAAATGCTGTCAGAGTCTTGGCTCTATTGGTAGCTGTAGTAGACGTTAAACAAGCCACCGTTCAATTCCCCGTGAATGACAGCTATTACCTGAATCACAGGATCAAAGTGGGTAATATTTTGTACCACCAGTGACATGGTACATGGATTAAAAAAAAAGAGAGTCCTCCAGAGCTGAACTATCATTGAATATTGAACAATCAGTTTGGGGATGGCCTTCTACCTGGACAGGGCGTTTGTGCCATCTTCTCAGCGCAATGCTGTGATTGGACTGGCTTAAATGCACTGAACTTCTCCATGGCTGTACATCCAGTAGAAGTTATGTTGAATGTGTGATATGTATAGGGTAGTTTTAATAGCAGGAGAGGTAATTCCTCTGCCAACCTGCACTGAAAACAAGTGTATATTTGTTTGATAGCTAAAATCCTGTAGCTAGCCAAATCTGGGAGCTCTTTGTAGGTTAGCTGTGGTCTGACTTCATGCATTCTCCCACTTACTGTCCTTCTTTTGCTTTGCTTTTCTTCTCAGAGCTAGTAATTCTGTGTGATTAGTAAACTGATGGGTGATAATTTTTGTGTTTAAAGAGAAGCCGCTGTAATGATGCAAACAAAACTTTCCTACATTAGTTTATGATTTCAGCTTTAAAAATGTGCAGATTAAGTATTCATAACTGGTCTAATCTTTTTATTATTATTATTTATTTAGTAGCAAGATTGGAACATTGGCAGAGAAGGGAAACCTTTGAAAAGATAAAGCATTGTTTGGTTGTTTTTTTCATTTCCTGAATTTGACCTGTATAGAAATGGTTTAGGTCTGCTCCTCCTGAAAATCTATTTTTCAATTAATTTTTTCTTTGTCAAAGAAGAATTTGCTTGGCTCTAGTCGTAACGTCCTTGCACTTACATATTACTGTCTCTATATACGAGTTGGCATCTGGGTCATACCTTTACTGACCAAAGCAGTCATACCTTTACTCATATTTAACCGACTGATTTCGAATCCCACGTGGATATGCTCATTATCATATTAAGTACGTTTGGGGATAAGGCACGGATGAAAATTATTAACATACCTGCATAGGACACATCCTAATAGCCACATGACAGAGATGTAGGAGGAAGGCACTGATCATGTCGTGGAAAGCAATGACAGACTGCTTAATGCCGCGTCTCCGTCTGCACGTGCTGCTGCCGTAGCCCTTCTGCTGAGCGGGGCTGTTCTCGAGGATTACCGGAGTTATTGACCAAACAGCCCGAATTCATCGTTGGCCACAACAAGGATCACGATCAGCCACATTCCCTCCACGTTTCTTCCTAATGAAGGCAAATAAAAAGATCTGTAATGTTCCATTGCTTTGGATAAGAAATACCCCAGGCTCTTCATTGCCTATGTGAGTACCCTCTGCTGTGTTCTGCTTTGCTTTCCCCACCGGTCATTACCCATTTGGTCAATATGATCTTTAAATATCTTTTTCGGTTTGGTTGGGTTTGTTTGTTTTTTAAGGTAGGGTAAATTTTCTAGAATATTCCCAGCAAACACAAAAAACCACACAAAATTAAATGAAAAGGAAGGTCTGAATAATTCAGTGTAACATCTTGAGGCAAAGGGGTTGTTTTCATTATGGATTTTTTCACAGTGCTTTCTGTTGTATTTTCAGACGTGTTTATTAGGAGAAAAATAAAGAGCATTTTGCAGGTGTTCATCACTTCTTTTGCAAAAATAAATGATGCGATTATTTAGTGAGTACATCTTTAGAGTACGGTGCCAGGCAGCAAAGCTGAATAGGCACAGTAGCCGCGTTCCTGTTCTCTGCCACAGTGACTGAAGAATTACATGACAGCTCTGCTAGGACTTGACAAGGAATTTTTCATCAAGGAGAATACGGTTCAGAGCAAGTAATGTGATTAGTTTGTTTGGGTTTCTATTAAAACCGCCTCCTGGCTTTGCTCATACTTTTATGTATTTCATATAGAACAATCATTACAAAACAACTGGCAATTCACTGCAGTCTTTAGAAGGGTAGATCTCCTAATAAATTAAAAAAGGGAGGTATCCATAAAGACTATGAGGAGCAGCACATTCCTGAAACACATACTTAATGGGATTTCTTATGAATGTAATGGTTAATTTTGTAAATGACTGGATAAATCCTACAGAAACTATTTGACGTTATTCTTTGGCTGTTTTGATTATTCTGGAAGGTGATTTTGTGACATCTAGTAGCCAATCTGCATTAATCGCTGCTGTAGAGATTTTGAAATGGAAATATTTGTTCCTTGAATTTTAGTTTGTAACAAAGACTGCTACATTTTGTTAAAACTGCTTTGAAGCTTGCTGCACTATAACTTCAAAACAACGTGCTATCATTTGAAATAAGCCAAATGTATATGCTTTTGATGAATTAGTGAGTGCAGTAAGAGAGAATTCATGATCTTGTCAATAGAAGCTTTTCTGTTTCCATTGTTTGGACTTGGGTTTATATGTGTAAGTTAAAATTGCTAAATAAGTCTAACGGTGTTTTGCTTTAAATGAACAGCATGGTCATTGAAGTACAATCTGTAGTTTTGTGGTGTCACTAAAACAGGTTTCACTGGTTTATTTCATTTCTGTGATAACTCCACGTGACTCTGAATGTCCAGTAGTTCATTTCTTTGATTTAGCTCAATGATGGCTCCATTAGGCAATACATCACTACCATCAAAGGAGGACCAAGTTTTGAAATGCTCTGCATGTTAAATAGTGCAAGGCTCAGCAGGAGAATTTGATTGTCATATTTCTCATTCATATCACTTAGTTTCTGATTTTTCCAAGTTATTTATTATTTTTAATATTGTATTTTTCCTTGCATTTTGTTGTAAATAAACTACCAACAATTATTCTTTACGATTGTGGCTGTTTTCTTTTACTAGGTCTCCTCTAGCAAGGAAGATATCCATTAACATTTCTACCCCCAGCTCTGCAAGTCACTTCCTCAAAATCGAAAAGCACAAAGAATTGGCTTTGTAAGGAAAATTTAAACAACTTACAACACCTACTGGGTCTTGTTGTGCCTCAGCTTTTTAAAGATTTTTATCAGGGCAGGTGCCCATCAGTCTGGTGTGAGCCCATTCATTTGTAAATGACCATTTGGTTGACAAGGCAGTTTTCCAGAAGGAAATCTAATTCCCTATGCAGGGTTTGGCAGCCCAGTGTTGTAGTAAATACTGGAAAGGACATCACTCAAAGCCTCTCGGGAGATAAGAATCCTCCATCACTTGTGTACAAGTCATTTCATTTTAGTCAAATTTCATGTGTACAATGATTCTTTTAGCTTTTAAGTAGAGGCTTACTCCACAGAAATAAAGCTTTCTCTGCACCGGAAAAATGGTAGTCGCATATTCAGCATAGAAATGCTTCACAGCAGTGTAGGACAGGACGCAAGGAACAAACATGGGCCTAGAAAATATTTAAGGTAGGAATGACGCGGTACAGAAGAGACAGAAACCGGGCAGCCCTTCGGCTGTGGCAGTGACTTCTCGGCGCACGAAGACCCTGTTGGGGTGAGTGTGCCGGGGCCGTGCCCCGCAGACAGCTGGCACCCCGGTCACGTCTTTGGCACCACAGCAAGGCTGTGACTCTCCTCTGTGAGGCCAAATTACGGCTGGGCTCTCCAGCAAGCAGATACGGCGGCGGCAAGGCCCCTGACATGACAGCGCTGGCAAGCCGTGTTCCCAGCGGGGGTCAATGGCTAGCACCCTAACACAGCTGGGTTTGGTGGTGGTTTCGTTTGACTTGATGTTTTTTCCAGTTTGGGCTGGTATCGCTAGGGCTTC